GTTCTTCTTCTGTTTCAAATTTCAATAAAAGTTTATACATTTTAGCAATTACATGTTCATCCTTGCTCCAAACTTCTTAATAAACAAAACTTTGTACAGTACAGCAGAAAGATAGATTGTGCATGTGGGAATGCGGTGGGCTGAGACTGCTAAAGTGGGGCAGGCCCACATGGAGCCTGGTGCTGACAGAGCCCCTATACCAAGGAGGAGGAAGAACATGATGAAACTCAGCTAGGGGCAGCAGTGGGTAGGCAGTGACGGTGGAGTGCAGGGCAGCCAAAAGGTCAGAGATGTGGGGGAGATAGGTGGGTTCGCAAAAGCCTTGTGAAGGGCCAGCAGCTGCCTCTGCTGAGCATGCCTCATCAGCAGGAGGAAGAAGATCAGTGGGGGGCAGCAGGGGTAGGCAGCAGAGTGCAGGGCAGTCAAAAGGGCAGAAATTGGGGGAGAGAGTTGGGAGTTGAAATTCACCCTGCAGTTGTAAGTATAGGCAGACTGCCAAGTGCTTGAATTTTGATCATGTGACTGCAGGGGCACTGCAATGGCCATAATTTCAAGGAAGGGTCATAACTACTATTCATTCAGTGCCGTTGTAACTTTGAACAGTCACTGAACAAATGGTTGTTAAGTGAGGACTACCAGTAATAATCATTTGCAATATTAAACATAGAGACTTTTTGAAGTACATAGTGACAGACTGTTATGGCTTTGGGTCATGTTTAAAAATAATATTTTTGGATTTATTTTACCCAGTTGCATTTGTGTCAAATGATCATATTGTTGCAGATGCAACAAGAATAATGCTTCATTAAAACATGTTTTTGCAAAGTCCTAAAGCTATTCTGGGAAGAATCAATTACATGTATTAATTTGATTCTAAGACAAAGTTTAATATTTTCAGATGCTTGCTGTTTTGAACTAACATATCTGTTACATCAACTGACAGTTGAAGAATTGAAATGGATTCTCCATGCCATTCTTACTGCTATGAGATTAGACCTTTAACTTTTGAAAGATAAATCTATGGCCACAATTATTCAGTGGCTTGAAGACTTGATGCTAGTTCTACTTATGACCAAATTGGTTATTGAGGTAGATTATGAATAGACGATTACAATGAAATAAAATAGTATGAATATGAATATAAATATAGGTATACTATAAACATCTATCTAATATATATAGAGAGAGAGCTATAATAATATCTGTTTATATGCACATGCACACAAATATGCACAGCATCATTATACAATCAATATATACATATATCTATTAAAATCACAAATAGTAAAAAAAAACCTGGCACCATAATAAACTTTAGCAAGCAGTCCACCACAAAAATTCTAATCGATCTCACTGTTTCTCATGTGAAACTTGTCTGTTGCTGTCACAGGTCATCCCTTTTATTCTTGATCACACAAATCAGCTCTTTCTGGTTCACCATCTTTACACTTTTTAGCCCAGTGACATAATGTACTCACGTCAACACAGTTATCACCATAAATAACTTACATTTGGCAGTGAATTTCAGTTGAAGGGTCTTCGGCAGTCAAAAATTCAATCATGGCATGTGGCTTAAAGCACACTGACAAGTACATACTTCAGGCTTCCATTTCAGTGAACAATAGCAACACAACCTTTTCTCATAGCAACTGGTAACTGAAGAACAGATTCTAAAGACGATATTGGAGCTTTTAGCTAGTCAGTACTGCCATCTGTTCGTGACTGATAACATTTGAAGGCATTACTTTTCATTCAACCTTTGTGTATATACAGGTAGTCCTTGCTTAACGACCATTCATTCAGCAACCATTTGAAGTTATGACAGCATTGAACAAATGGTTTTTCTGCCCAGTCCTCAAAGTTATGGCCGATGCAGCGCCCCCACAGTCACATGGTCAAAATTTGGGTGCTTGGCAGCCCACCTGCATTTATGACTGCAGGGTGCACTTCAGCTCCCCCACCTGCCTATCTCCCCCCAACTCTGCCCTTTTAGCTGCCCTGCACTTCGCCACCTACCCCTGTCACCCCCGTCCCTATTTCCCCCGATCTCTGCCCTTTAGGCCACCCTGCACTCTGCCCTGCACCCCTGCCGCCCTCCACTCCACCTCCCCTGCTGCCCCGTGCTCTGCCCTGCACTCCGCTGCCCCTCCTGCCCTGTGTTCCACTGCTCCTGATGCCCTGCATGCCACCCTATGCTCTGCTGCACCTGCCTCTCTGCTACCCTGTGCTCCACAGCCCCTACCACTCTGCGCTTTACCCTGCACCTCCACTACTCTGCACTCCGCCGCTGCCAGTTGACTTTTGCCATCTTCTTCTTCCTGCTGCTGATGAGGCATGCCTGGCCTGGCCCTTCGCAAGGGAGCTGCTAGAGGAAGATGGCAAGGTCAGCTGAGGGCGGCATGGGTGGCGGAGCGCAGGGCTGCCAAAAGGACAGAGATGGCAGGGAGGTAGGCAGGTGGGGGGAGTTGAAACAGAGGCGAGTGCAGCAGGGCAGAATTGTGAGGTCCTCGCCTAACGAAGGAGTGGTCTTGGCTTAACAGCCACAACTGGGACTACCAAAACTGCCCTCACTAAGCAGTGTGGTCATGTGGTGTTTCACCTAACAACCACACTGCTTGGCAACTAAAATTCCAGTCCTAATTAGGGTTGTTAAGTGAGGACTACCTGTATAGAGAAACCTTTATGTGTATAAGATTTGCACATGATACAACACTGAATCAGGCAGCTAATAATTTGAAAGACAGATGAAAATTAAAAATTATCTTAGAGAAGTGGGCTGAAAATAATTTGAGCAGGAGCAAATGCAGGATTCATCACTGAAGAAATAGAAAACAATATATATACAATACACTACACTACAGTTCCAGTACAGTAATCTTAAATTATAGGGAAGCAGATTCTGGTTGAATGTTTGGGAGAACAGTGGAACCAAGTACTGAAAAAATGTGGTGGGTTTCACTTTGTTGTACTTGTTCAAACAGAAGTTAAACAAGCATCTGCTACTGTTGCTTTAATTTGGATTCCTCCACTGAGCAGGGCTGAAGTAAATAGCTTCTTCCAACCTTGTTTTGGAGAGAATTCTATAAGATAAATTAATTTTTACAAGATAAATCAATTCTGTGGCAGGAAGGGCTGATATGATCATTTATGCAAATTGAAGGTATTTGTGCAAATGTGTTAATTCTCTTTTTCACAACAGAGAAATTATCTTGAAAATGGTTCTCTCTCTTTCTCATGGCAGTTCCTTAGTCTCCTTTGGTATTGGGTGGGTTGTAAGTACTGTAAACAAATGTGGCATTACAGAAATGTATTCTTTGAGGAAATCCACACAGTTTTAACTCTGATTTCCTTACCTGCTGCTGCTGCTGCTTTTCAAGGCTCCTGTTATAATCTGTTTTCTTACTGTTGAAAGTGTCATTTGGAGAGCTGCCCAGCCTTTGGAGATTTTTGGTTTTCTTGAATCGGTATATATAAAATGATTTTGCAACCCTGCCCCCTGCCCAGAACACACACATGAGAAATTCACAATACATTTCCTTGCTCAGAAGTATACCTTGTGTTCAGCATTTACTGTTATGCATATTTATCAAGCTATATTTGAGTCTTAAAGGAGTATTAAGCTTCTTTCTGATTTTTGTGCTGATACTTTGAATTATACTGAAGAAAGAATCTAGTAAATCTGCTAAACTGCTTTCTCCCTATAATTTCTAAAACTCTTCCACACCTTTTGTTGTAGGTGTTATTTGGAATACTGACTTAGTGGAAAGTTTGGAACTACAAAATTTGATGCTCTGTGCTTTACAAACTATTTATGGTGCAGAAGCTCGGAAAGAGTCACGTGGAGCTCATGCTAGGGAAGATTATAAGGTATGCATTGGTGTAGATGTTATTTCTTCAGCTACAAAGGTTCATACTTTCTACAGAGCTATCCTTCCCAAAACTCACTTCTCTGTAAAAGAAAGTTTCACTTATACTGCATTTTAATGGCTTAAGAATATATCTGAACAGGCAGTTTGTTTTCTGTCACTGAAATTATCAAAGTATATAATGTCCTAATCAGTATTTCTGTTTCACATTTCTGAGAAGGAGTTCTTCTGGGAAATGGTACAGACCACCAACAAGGAGAGCATGGCTGCCTTCCATGATTTTCCAGGGAGGCATTTATTATACAAAAAGTTTATGAACTTATTTCTTAACCTCTAACCAAACACTTATAACTAAATTGATATATATATACTGTAAATCTATGTGTCCTATGTGTGTATTTAAATCCTAAAGAATCCTATAAACAGTTCTTTTCTCCCTTATTGTCTGAGCTGTAACAAAGTCTTTATTTGTTTTGTACTTAGTTGGCTTCTGTTGCTATCAGATGCCATTCTGAACTACTGCTGAAGTTTTCTGGCCTTTGTCCAGTTTTTTCAGTCTGTGTTGCAGGGTGAGGGGAAGGAAGGTGCTTTACCAGCTACTGGCTGGCTGTAAGCTGTTAGGAGGGCATTTGAGCAGACTGAATAATTTATAGGAGAGGACTGTAGTTAATTGTGTGCATTTGTGCACAGATGTGTAAGAGGGTGTGACACTGAAGACATAGAATGTTATGTGATCCCATCAATCCAAACTGATTTTGCAAGAAACAAGCTGAAGAGACACTTTATGCTTCAGTGATTGTACATTGGGAGGCTGTTCCAAAGAATTAGTGCAGCCACTGAAAAACAGTGCTACTGAGCCTCTGCCCCCCCCTTCCTAAAGTGGGGCACAGTTAATAGTTTCTCCTGGGTAGATGAAACTAGCCAGCCCAATTCCAGTGGAAAAATATAGTCCTGCAGATAACTCGGTATCAAGTATGTAGGACTTTATAGGTTAGTATCAGGCTTCAGATTGTACCCAACAGATTGTTGGCAACCAGTGCAGAGCCTGCAGCCCTGGTGTAATGCACAACTATCAGTGAAACCTGGTCAGCACATGGGCTGCTACACTCTGAACCAGTTGCATCTTCTGAGCATTATTCAAACCAGCCCTATGTAAAGCATGTTGCAGTTGTCCTAGCAAGCAAGGGCATGAGTCACTGTAGCAAGATCTTCCTGCTCCAAGCAGGGTCACAACGGGTGCACCAGCCAAAGATGGGAAAAGGCCCTCTAGCCATGGCCTCCACCTGCTGTTCTAGCAGGAGCTGTAAGTCCAGAAGCATCCCCAAGTTGCAGACCTACTCTTTTACAGGTAGTGCCACCACTGCAGGAAACAGAGAATCCCAATGGACAAACAGTAACTCTACCTTATTTAGAATTCAGTTTAAGCCTCTTCTGTCTCATCCAGACCCTCATAGCCTCCAGGTACCAGAACTGGACCTGAACTGCATCACCAGTCTAGCCTGGAGTAGCAGTGTAAAGCTGGGTATTGTCAGCATATTGATACCAAATATGAAACTTTGGATGACCTCTCCCAGTAGCTTCTTGTAAATATTAAATAAGAGAGGGAAGAGAACCAATTCTTGTGGCACCCCGTAAGGGAGTAGTCATCAGTCTTCTCTCTCCTGCCCCAATACTAATGATTGGAACCACTCACCACCAAGGAAGGAGCACAGTGTACTGTAACACAGTGTCCCCAGTCCCTGTAGACTGTCTAGAATGATACCATGCTTGATGGTATTGAAGGCTGCTGAGAGGTCTAAAAGGAACACTTTTCGATGGAAACATTTCCTTCACCCAGGTCCTGTTAACATTGTTTTCCTGTTTTCTCTGGAGTGTTCCATAGTTGATTCCCCAAAACTGTCTCAATACAGTCACTCCTTGTTTAGCAGCTACCTCGTTTAGCGACCGTTTGCAAATACAACTATGATGATGATGATTTATTTATTTTATTTATTTATTGTTAAACTTGTATGCCACCCATCTCCCCCAACAGGTGACTCTGGGCAGCTCACAATAACAAAAAAAGGAAAAAA